ACCCGTTAGCAGAGGCTGTGGGGGTCCAGCTCAGTGGCTGGCTGGCCCCCGTTTTTCTCTTTTCTCTGAAGGCCTCCAACAGCCCCTTAAAACCTGTGTACATATTGTACCCCTCTCTCCTCTCCACCACCATATAAGTTGTGTAACTAAATTTATTTTTCTTCTGAGGGGGTCTCTCTGGGGTCCTTGAAACCATAAAGGACCCCTCCCCCTGTCCCCACCTTCCACCTGTTGGGTGGTCTCCAAATGAAGCCGTCAATAAAGACTGAGTTGGACATTTATGTGCCTTTGTCAGGCCCCGGGGAATGCAGGGTGGATTTGGGGATCACAAGGCCAGGCACTAGCTCCACCTTCCCCTGGCTGTGTCCCTAGTACCCCTGATAGAACTTGGCAGGTAGCAAGAGTTGGTACAGTTTGCTGGATTGAAGAGAAGACAGCTGGAGTCCGTGGCATGGTTCTTTGAAACAGACCTCATGTCAGACGAAGGCAGCATGTCTTGCCACTAGAGGGCCCCACAGCCTGAGAAAATCTTGAAGTAGTTTGTGTGTGTGTGGGGGGGGGGGGTTGTTGAAACATTGAGAGAAGCATTGGTCCACCTCTCTGCCCTGGCCCTCCATTTCCTCCCTGATATGGGTCACGTCCTAAAAAGCCATCTGGACTTCTCCAGCTGGATCCCTGAGGGCAGGCTGACTTGGGTCAGGTGTGATCAGCAACAGTGGCAAGGAGAGCTCCTGGGGCTTTACTCAGTAACAGTGTTGGGAGTTCCGGGTAAGGGGCTCTAGAGAGTAGGAAGTGCCTTGGCTCCCTGCCATGCCAAGTTGTGGCTCAGCCACTAGACATGTATTGTAGGAAGAAAGTGAAGTGTGGCTGGCTTAGTGCTTGGTCATCCAGTATGTCTTAAGTAAACCCCACCCCACCCCCATCCTCACCCCAGGAACTGCAGTTTCACTTGGATCTCCAACATGCTGGGCAGGCTTACCACCACCAAGCTATAGCCTCGTCTCTCTTTAATTTCAAGACTAGGTTTTGCTGATTGCCCAGTTGGCCTTGGGCTCGATCTATATCCGAGGCAGGCTCCGAACTTGGCCACCCTCCTGCTTCAGCCCTGAGTAGCTGGGATTGTAAGCCTGTGCCCTTGGGTTATTTTGAGTAACATTTGCAGTTAATTCTGTGGAGAAGCGTGTTTTACACAGGAGGCCTCTGGAGCGACTTGCTGAGTGGTCAGATCAGTCCAGGGAAGTGCTTGAATTTAAATCTAGTTTCATTTGGTTTAAGCATCCATACCCTTGTCCGTCTGTCCCATGGCCTTTCCCAGAAAGACAGTGGATGAGGGAGTGTATTTGCCTCTGAACCTCCTGCTCCAAGATTATTCCAGTTCCTTCCAGTAGAAAGAATCCCTTTACTTAGAAGGACACTGCTTGAGAGATGAAAGGAACTTGGGAGCATACCTGTTACCCTGTGCCTTGATCTGTGGCTCAGATGAGAAGAGGGGAAGAGGTGAGGACCGGAACCTGGCCCCGCCCTCCTTGTTCTTTTTTACACCATTGTCCTGGTTATAATTTTAAAATGAAAACACCTGTTACAACCTGGCAAAGGGCCCAGCAGGTAAACTCACTTGCGGCACAAACCTTATGACCTTTGATTCCCTAGAGCTCATGGTGGAACCAACTCCCAAAAGTTGTCCTTTGCCCTCTCCCTGTGCACACGCACCCGCAGTCACGCAGAGATGCACAGGAGAGGGAAAGCACTTACTGGATAGCCATGTGGCTTAGGAAGAGTCATTCTCACAGCTGGGTTTCCATCTTCAGTGCCTGCCAGCCCTGCAGGAAAGACTAAGCCAGTAACCCCAAGTACCAGGTCCTACTCCCCAGAACCGAAGGCACCCAGGAACAAAACCCCTTTCAGACATCGGGTACTGTTTGTGCAAGCCATCTCAAATAAGTGGTTAGAACTGTAAGATCCTTTGTCTTTGCTAGCCAGATGAAAAGCAACTGAAAGAAGGGACAGGAATGGAGGAAAATCAAGGATGCTGGTTGTCGACAATATTAAGGTGTTTTCATCAGAGATGACCCTCTTGACAGTGGAGTGGCCATCAGAGCCTCCACTCCCCCAAAAAAGCCAGGTGTGGTAGTGCACACCTGTAGTCCCAGCACTCACTGGCAGAGGCCAGCCAAGGCTATGCAGAAACCCTGGACTAGAAAGGTGTCCCCGAGGACCCATGCTGGGTGGCTCTCAACTACCTGTAAATCCAGCTCCAAGAGATGGCCTCTTCTTGCATATGGGCACCCCTCAGGCACATCATACACAGTGCATATATTCCTAAAATGACAGTTGACCAATTCCTGAGCTTTGATAAGGTCTTTGAGCCTTAGTCCTAAAGAAAGATGATACCTATCTATGGGACAGACAGACATTTCCCAAACTCGGTGGATGTTAGATGCTCCTCTCTAAGATGTGCATGCAGCCAGAACATCCACAGTGAAATCCAAGAACCTGTACTGGCAAATAATTCTAATGGAAGTGACCTCAAGGTCCTCTTTGGAAAGGCTGGCCTTGCCTGATTCCCTTTGTGAGACAGGATTGTTCTTGTGGTGGCCGAGCCTGCCTCTTGCCTTAGTCTCAGAGTGCCAGAATTGCCAACCTCTGCCACCACACCCAGCTGTACTGCCTGCTTTATTTAGAAGTCGCAGAAGCAAGATAGCCAAGGGAACAGAACACTGCCCCTCTGGTGGCTTACAGTGCTTGACAAGAGAAGGCAGCTAACCTGGAAGAGCCAGGTAGATGGGGAGTGGGGGCTTCAGATCCAGAGTGCTCTCAAGGGTGTGAGCCATGGGATGGCCTATGGGTCTGACTGCAGCCTCTTGAAGGCTGGTAAAAATCTTCCTCAGCCAACTATTACTGACAGTGCTTTTTTTTTTTTTTTTTTTTTTTTTTTTTTTTTTTTTTTTTTATGGAGATGGAATCCAGGGCCTCGCACATTTCTCTCATCTTCAGTCTTTCCTATTGGGTTGCCCGGATCCCAGCACCTGTGTGCCAGACAGAAATGCAACAAGGACAAAGGAAGGCTGGTGGTGCTCTGTGTCTGGCACAGAAAGTGTTAAGACCAGCCATGATTTTCAGTGGCAACATGTGGAGTCACTGACCTGGGAAGCTGCTACTGCAAATGACTAGTTGAAGATGGCAGGGTGTGTGTGTGGGGGTGTGTCCCTGGGGATTGAAACCTACAACCTTGCACTAGTGATTTACCACTGAGTCAGTCCCCTCCCCCTCTTTGAGCCAAGGTCTTAACTGTGTAGCCCAGATCCCTTCAAACTCTCCTCCAGCCTCATGTATCATTTATTTTTGAGACAAGATCTTATGTAGCCCAGGTTGGTCACTTAACATATGCAAAAATGATCTTGGACTCTGTCTTGGCCTCCTGAGTGTTAGGATTAGAGGTCTGTGACCCAACATTGGCTTGGATTTAGCAGTGACTTTTTTTCCTTTCTTACTCTCATGTTGTATGTGCATGCAGGAGCTTGAGGGCAGCCTCACCTGTTGTCCTCCTTTGAGACAGGATCTTTTGTTGCCCTCACCTAGAGCTCACCAATTTCGCTAGACTGGCTGGCCACCCTGCTCCCAGGGATCTACCTCTCTCCACCTTCCTAGTGCTGGAATTCCAGGGATGCCAGCATTTTTGCATGAATTCCATTCCCATTCCAGGGCTCAAATTCTGATCCCTGTGCTCGAAAGACAGGCACTTCACTGACTCAACTCTCTCTCTCTCTCTTTTTTTTTTTCTTGGTTTTTTAAGACCAGGTTGGCCTCAAACTCAGAAATCTGCCTGCCTCTGCCTCCCTAGTGCTGTAATTAAAGATGTGTGCCCCCACCGTCTGACCTAGCAGCTCTTTTTGTTTTTTTTTTCGAGACAGGGTTTCTCTGTGGTTTTGGAGGCTGTCCTGGCTCTTGCTCTTACAGACCAGGCCGGTCTCGAACTCACAGAGAACCGCCTGCCGCTGCCTCCCGAGTGCTGGGATTAAAGGCGTGCCCCCCCCCCCACACACACACCTATGGCAGAACTGAGATTTAGACACTGGGATTTGAATTCTTCCTGAATCTCTCAAATTCTCTGAAGGTAAGTTTTTTTTTGTTTTTGTTTTGTTTTGTTTGTTTTGCAGGCCTTCTGACCATTGTGTGTGAGCGGTTGTTTTCTTGTTTGTTTTGAGACCTTTAGCCTGGGTTGGCCTTGCATTCACCATGTAACTCAAACTAGTCCTGGGTACTCAAGGCAAGGAAACCTCT